CAAAACTATAAAATAAGAGAATAGCGTCCCTGATATCCTGTTATCACAAAATGGCAGCACCAAGATTTGTGAGCTTAGCATGTTTGGCTAAGCTTATAAGATGCTTTCTTGCATTTTATTTTGGCAGCAAGCGAAATTCCAACTTTGACAAATAAAAAAAAAAGTAAAACTTTAAGCAATCTTTGCAAGAGTCTTTACCAATGCAAAAAAATACAAAAAAATTTAACGAACCTTTGCAGGGTCTGCAACAATCAAGCTTGTACTTTGATAAGCAATTGAAACAAGATAATAAACGAAGTCAGGGCAGGCTATAGCACCTGTATCGTCTTACGGAAGTTTTGGGTTCCTGAGGGTCCTCAAATGGGAAAGCGCCCACCAACATAACGTATAACATTACACCGCAAGACCAAACATCTGCAATCTGAACGAGTATTGGCACAGGAGAGAAGAAATTAGTCTGGTGGTGAATACTGATATTATACGTATTCAGTATTTATAAGAATAAATAAACGGAGAGTTTATCAATAGATTATTGGCAACAGAAATTAGCGTAACCCAAAATGTGTCAAAAAGACAAAATAAGTACATATGTTGAGAACTTTTTACTCCAATATTAATGACACGGCTTATAATATGTGAACTAGATGACATATTTTACCCCACTAATCCATTGAAGGTTTGTCTACGGCATCCCTACCCCAATGGCTATAAGTAGGTTTGAACTGCGAGCGATCAACTAGAGCACAGGGCTCATCTCAGGCTCACTGAAGATCATGTTTGGAGCTGAGGTAAAACAAGTGAATGATGTGTTTTTTTAGCTTTTAGACATTTTGAGCTATGATCAAGCTGGGCTCATTAAGCAAATAAGTATCAAGTACTTCAAGCTTTGTTTTAAAATAATGAGCATCCATAAGCCCCGTTATGATTACAAGTGAAGCTCGAACAATCTAGCTTCACTCAAGTGGGCTCTTTATGCCCTTGCCCCCCCCCCCCCACCAGCCACACATTTCGTCTTTGAAATCATACGCTCCCCTTTCTTTGTGCATGCATATGCACCTATTATTATCTTGTCTTATTCTACAATCTCTCATCCTTATCAGACATATTCACCTCATACCTTTTCTCTTTGTTGGATCTTCGTCTCAAATATCTCCACGCAAAATGTAAAAGTCTCTCTCCGGTTTCCCTTTCTTATTATCTACTTAATTCCTTTCTTCCATCAACATTTTTCACCTGCATCTTCTTGTCATACATTTCATAAAAAACAAATAAATATACCATCAATGTTTCAAAATGCCTCTACTATTGTCTCATTAGCACTGTTTGTCCAAAATAAAGACTTGCACTGCTAAAAGTCTACCTTCCGGCAGTGGCGACTGTAACACTTCCATCCTCTGGAAGGTTTTAAAATAGCTCTACAGAAACATCTCAGTAGAAAGAAAAATAATTTGGAAAAATGAAAAGTATAATCAAACCTCTGTTTCATAAGCCAATTATGTAATTTGTCTGATCAGCATGCAACTATAAAAAACGCATAGAAAATTGCTCAACACTGAAAGAATTGAAGCATTATAAATTACTCACCTTGCCATCATACTCTCTCTTTAGTAACAGTTCTGGAGCGATATATGCAGGAGTACCAACTGTTGACTTCGGTTGCGAATGCAGCACTGAGGACTGAAATAAGTGCATAATAATAGTTACACACATGACAGAGAACAGATAAATGAGAAGTATCTATTTCCCTGTTAATACCAGGGATATGAAGGCAAAAATATGTTCATGACGACAATTTCCTTATAAAGGTCACCAAGATGGTGATTTTTTGCATATAATGATATGTGAGAACCTTTGGTAAATTACCTTGTATCTAATACAATTCACTTCAAGCAAAAGGATCCAGAAACACGACACAATTTCAAATGCAAGCTAAAATTTACTCACCAACTGAAAAAAAAAAAAAAGTATAAGAAAGAAGTCGTCTATGAATAGCCAAAATCACAAATTTTTAAACGAGGAGCTGGGCTTCCATCCAATAAAGCGTTCTCTAGTTTCAAGTCTCGATGTCACATTTGCTTCAAAAAAGTTAAAAAACCAATCAGTCAGAAGGTTAGCATGTATCTTCATTTTAGTTTGACCACAATCACCAAGACAGAGAGTCTATTTGTACCATAGCACGACAGTAGCTGACCCCGGATATGCGTTGCTGGAAGAAGTATCGTGCCTACAGCAGAATTTATAGCAGATACATCATTAAAATAAGCAGGGAGCTATTCACAACCAACATAAATGCAGTAGAAGATAGCACCTCATCCTCCCTGAATCGCCCTGCATTGCATATCCCGTTCAAACTGTAGGATAATTGTTTCAAGTACT